GGTTTTCCATATCCTGAGTTTCTCTTTAATGTTGTCTATTTTGTCCTGAGTTCATTTATCTCATTTATTCATGTGTTTCTTTGTTTCACTTTGGTGTTTATACATTGCTTCTATGTTTCCTTTTTATTTTTTCTTGTGCTTTTCAAATTCTCTATTTTTTGTGTCTTGGAATTTCTTGAGTGTCTCCTGTACATTTTGGTTGACCCTATCCAGTATCATCTCTATAAAATTCTCATTGATTACTGTAGTATGTCTTCTTTTAATTATTCTTGTGGGCTTCATTGGGTCCTTTGGCATAGTTTATCTTCATTTTGTTGGAGTCTGGATCTGAGTTTCTGTTTTCTTCATTCCCTCTGGTTCCTGTACTAATTTTTTGCTGTGGGGAAACTGGTTTCCTTTTTTTCTGTCTTCCTCATTGTCTTGGTGTTGTTACTGTCCCTGTACTGTGTGAATTAAGTATTTTCTAGCTTGTAATAATAACAATGGTGAATTTTAGAATGGAAGGGTGAGAGATGGAAAGCAAGAAGTTAAAGAAAAGGGAAAAACAAATAACAAGAGAAAAACAAATCAACAAGAAGTTTCAAAGGTATAAACAGGGAGTGTTAGTGTACTAATCACAGTAAAGCTGAAACAGACATTAGAGAGACAGAGAGAGGATTGAAAATCAAAAAATAAAGAAATAAAAAAAAGTAAATGAAAATAAAAATAAAAAATAAAATAAAAAAAAAAAAATAAAAAAAAAAATCTTCCAAGTTTAATGCAATGCAAAAGTTCAGTCTTAATAATTTGGTGTGTCCCGTCCTCCAATCCTGGAGATGGTGCCTCAGATGTTTCTGTCTTGTCTCATCAAAGGGATCAAAATACAAAATACAAAAACACACACAAAGCAAAAAAAAAAAAAACCCACAAGTGTCCCAGTTCAAATGCAAATACAGTTTCAGTAAGTTTTTCAGCTGCAGGTGTAAGTTCGGTTGTTTCTCATCAAAGGAGAGAGAAAAAAAAAAAGTCTGGGGACAGTTCTGAGAATGGTATCTGCGACTGTGGCTGCCTTGCCTGTTGCCTGGAGGCTTTATTTCATGCAGATCTCAAGGAGGACTTAAACTCAACTGGCCCCCCCGCAGGCTTTTGGTTTACTCAGAGTTCTCCAGGATGGAATCACCACTGTTACAAGCATTTCCTCTTTCAAGCACACTGGGGGAGGTACACTGGTACCGCTTTCTCAGCCTGTTGTTTATTTACAGCTCAGTGGGAATGGGTCTTTCCCCTCCCTGTGGAGTTTTTTCCTCCCCACTGCAACTTTTTACCAAGCTTCCCACTCCTGCTTCTGGGTGTGTGCCTTCCCCAGCCAGCTTGTTGAGGGATTCCCCTCTCCCCTTTGGGTGTTTCGGGGTGCCCGCCCTCTTTGCTATGCTGTCTTTTTGTTGTTTTGCTTATTTTTATTTTTTTTTTTCTTTTTCTCTGGTGGGGTCGGTCCTGTCCAGGGGGCTATGCTGATCTGGCCCCAGGGTTGTCTGTGGTGGTACTGCATACCACTTGCTTCACCTTGTGGGTCCACGTCTTCCCCCAAGCCAATCTGTGTGCTGCAATCTGGTTGCAGCCCGGGCCCCTCCTTGGTTTCTCCATTTAATGTAAATTGGAGATGCTATGCCACAGGCTGGAGATGTGGGGGAGTCAAAGTTTTTTGCCTCTTCCTTCGGTGGTTTTTCCTGTAAGGTGTATCTCCAGCATCTACTGCACCAGCTTTCTCAGGCCTGTGTTTATTTACAGTTCACATGGAAGTGGGCTTCCCCCCCTCCTGTGGAGTTTTCCTCCCACTGCCACTTTTACAAGCTTCCCACTCCTGCTTTGCTGGGGTGTGTGCCTTCCTCCAGCCAGCTTGTGAGGGATTTCCCCTCCCCCCTTTGGGTTCGGGGTGGCCCCAGCCCTCTTGCTAGTGTCTTTTTGTTGTTATTGCTTTTTTTCATTTTTTTTTCTTTTTCCCTGGTGGGGGTCGGTCTGTCCAGGGGGCTATGCTGATCTGGCCCAGGGGTTGTCTGTGGGAGTACTGCATACCTGCTTAGCTCACCTTGTGGTCGTCTTCCAAGCCATCTGTGGCTGGCATCTGGTGCAGCGGGGGCCCTCCTGGTTTCTCCATTTAATGTGAATTGGAGATGCTATGCACAGGCTGGAGATGTGGGGGAGTCAAAGTTTTGCCTCTTCTCGGTGGTTTTTCCTGTAAGGTGTATCTCCAGCATCTCTCCAAGATTTTACTTTAGGAAGCACGCTTTCTGCTTCCTCCCTCTAGCTACCATGTTGGAATCTCCTCTAGTTACATCTTGAGATCTTGCAATTTAGGACTTTAACATATGAATTTCAGGTAGAAATAACTCAGACAACAGCATCTATTTAATCATAATCCTATCAACCATTTATTCATATAATTAACATAAATTTTATAGCAAAAATTTTATTTTGAGAATAGTAATATTTATTTATAGTCTCTAAGGAGAAACTCTCAAAGGGAAGAGATGGAGAAAGAGAGAGAGAAAATTATAATTAATCTTTCAATACATGAAAGATCATAGAGATTGATCTTTCAAAATTGAAAAATTTGGTCTGCTTTAACTCCTAACCATGAAGCTTTTGTAGGGGAAAGACAGACTATGATGTAGAGAAAGTAGAATTCACAACGTCTAAAGTGCATGATGTTAAACTGTTCAGGTTTTGAGATAAACCAAACCTGCATGTGGTTCTGGGCTTTGATTTAATAGATATGTGATATTACTTATAGTAATTAATCTCACTGAAACTACTCTAAAAGGTTTACATGAAATTTGGACAGGAAATAATCCCTTTTTATAATAATAAGTATGCTGAATAAAACTAGCTTGAGAAAGTTCAAATTTTAACAAGATAATTGATATTCAACATTTTACTAGACATGCATTTTAAAATGTGTGTTATAAGCATTCTTTTCAATTAATGTTCAGATAAAAACTGACACTAAAAGTAATTAAAAAACAAGAGCAATTAAAACAAGTTAGCACTTACATGGTGTAGGTAATAACAAACCAAGTAATCTGAGGAATTGAAAAGAGATTATCCAATGGCAAACCCCATTTACCACAACAGTGCAGAGGTGAGAATCATGGGGGTACAATGCCAGTTCCCAGGTACTATCTTGCAGGGCGCACACATATATATAGCTTGTAGGAGATAAGAATGGGGGTTATATCCCTATCTAAGCCTGCAGCCAGTGCTACTAAGCATGAGGGTAGCTGGAAATTATACCAGAGCAGGCCAAGCTTGTGTTAAGTTGGCTTAGACAGAAGGAAGGGTTGCAGTGCTCTCCTTACAACAAAAGAATTATCTTAGAAGAAAAAGAGGGAGAGGACTCCCTCCTTTGAACTTCCCAAAGGCCCAAGTTCATTATGGGAGGAACTGAAGAAGGAGTAAGTATGTGCAAAGAAGAGCTGAGCAAAGCAGGTACTGACAACATTCTCATGGTGCTTAAACAAGAAGGCAACCGGGACACTAGAAGGGTAGAAATCTATTTGGATGTATGTTTAAATGACTCTACATATTTGAAATACATTATCCATAACTTTGTATGTGTTCATATTCACATTTGTCTGTGCAAAATCATGCAAACCTGGTTCTTAGAGCTTTATTTCTTGCTGCCTTCCTGACAGGGACAGTTGAGGCTGTAAAGCTGATCCGTCCTTTCATGTAGTCAATTTTCTCATAGCAACACTAATTCTATGTACTTCTGTTTCATGATCAAATACTATATCACTGTGTTTTGCTTAAAAAAATCTTCCTTTTTGTATCTGGAGTCAGGCCAAGGTAAATAGAAAAGGAAGAAATTGCTGAGTCACACCATTTTCCTTCTTGTGACTACTCAAGTCCTAGAGGAGGACATCTACCTTCCAGAGAATATAAAGTGCTATAGATCCTTCCTTCCTGTGTTAAGCACAGAAATGAATTGACATAAACTGGCCAACTGGGACACACAAACCAAAGCAAGCACGGAATAGCAAATACACATACGTAGGGGACATCAAAAACAGTGAGAAAGAACAATGGCAGTGTGTATTTGTGTGACTGTGTTTTCAGGCATTGTTTGAAATGCCTAGATGTAGGTGAGTGAATCTCCTTGTGGAGAAACATACAATGATGCATGTCTCCCTCCCACTTCCTCACCTGTGTAATATATAAAATTACTCAAGTAAGAAATCAAGTTCTTTGACTAGTTACTTAGATGGTGAGTGATAACCTTCAATGACAGCTTCCTCTTTTAAGGATTATCATGAATATTTTTGTATTGCTTTAATTTGATTCCTTTCCACAAATGTCTAGGGCACCTGCTCTTTTTCTTAATTTGGTTGGTATGTGCTTAGCAAGCAATGAAGACATCATATGGGGTGTGGGTATGAATATGTATAAATTTGTTGCAAATGAGCAAAAATTATGATTATAAAAAATAACAAAGATAAATTAAAATCTAAGTTTCATAGAAATGGTGAACTTGCTCAAAGTACTCTGTATGCATCTATGGCATTATGAGACCCCCTTTGTACTATTAATGTATGCTAATGAAAATAGTTCAAAAAGTACAATCATTAATTAAATTCACTGACCAGAGAATTGAAAGATGAAACTTGTGTACTCTTTTAGAGTCTCTTAAATAATAATAATTAATATTTACCTGAGAACTGTGTATTTGTCACACTGAGTTAGAGATTTACATGAATTACCTCAATTAATCTTCACAACATCCCTATGAGGAAAGAAGATATTACAATTACCTCCATGCCCATTTTTCAATTGAGGAAACTGAAGAACAGAGAGATAGATAACTTTCCCAAAGTCACACAGCCTGTATGTTAACAGAGCTAATTTTTTTGTTGTTGATAATCATTAAGAGCATGCTACTTTCCCACAGCATAGCTGAAACAAATGAATAAATAAAAATACGTGGACTTTTGGCCAAACCGTCTTCCCTCCATGCTAACTTAATCCTTCTGAAAACAGCTAAGTGACTTTACAAATTCAAACTTCTTAAAGATACGTTGGCGGATTTGCTTAGTCTTGATGCCATGGACAATGGGGTTCATGAGAGGTGGTACAGCAGATACACATAGGACATTAGCAGGTGTACAATATGCGGCAGCTGTTCACCAAAGCGATGCACAAGAGACAAGCCAATCATGGGGATGTAGAAAAGCAGCACAGCACAGATGTGGGAGACACAGGTGTTGAGGGCCTGGAGGTGCTCCTGGTGGGAAGCTTTGCTCAGCACAGTGTGGAGGATAAGGGCATATGAGAGAAAGATGAGCAGGGAGTCCACACCCACGGTGCAGGCCACAACAAAGAGCCCGTAGACGGGATTGACAATAATGTTAGAGCAGGCCAGCTTCATAATCTCTAGGTGCAGACTGTAGGCATGGGCCAGCACATGGGAGCGGCAGTACTGGAAGCACTTAAGAAGGAATGGCAAGGGGAAGATAAGAAGGGTGCTTCTGACCACTGAGCCCAGCCCCATCTTGACAATCCGCACAGGCGTCAGGATGGTGGAGTAGCGCAGCGGGTTGCAAATGGCGACATAGCTGTCAACGCACATGGACAGGAGAACAGATGAATCCAGTAGAGACAAGGTGTGGATGAAGAAGAGCTGAATGAAGCAGGCTGGGATGCCAATTTCTCTGGCATCAAACCAGAAGATGCCCAGGACAGTGGGTAATGTGGAGAGGCAAAGGCCCAAGTCTGTGAGGGCTAGCACGACCAAGAAATAGTACATGGGTTCATGGAGGGTAGCCTCAGTACGTATGACGTGGAGGATAGTAAGGTTCCCCAAAATAACTGCCAAGTAGATGGAGCAAAAGGGAAGAGAGATCCAGCCATGGAGATCTTCCAGACCTTGGAAGCCTGTCAGGAAGAAAGTGGCTTTTTGGAGGCTGCTGTTGTAAACGATGGTCATGATATTACAATCTTGGATTCACAACCTGAGATACAGAATGAGATCCAGGAGAGTGACAGGATTGAGTCCTCAGTCACATAAATACACCAAGACTAGTGAGTCAGAAAGGGTCTGCAGATGGTCCAGAGAGAATTGGGGCCTTATCTTCTAGCCTTTTCCAGGGGGAAAGGGAGGGAGCTTTAATAGTGGATTACTATAGCCCAAGGATGCCGTGAAATTTACTTATGTGCTATGTCCACCTCAGAGAGCACTTTTTCATGTGATCTACCCTGAAAAATTCTCCAATTCAATGAGTAAAACATTCAGAATCTTTACATATATATAGCGAAGTAGCACTACGCGTCACTCTGAACACTTTTGTGGTAGGATCAGATGTAAATAATGTGTCTTCAAATGTATTTGTAATCTGCCTGGGTATTTTGTTTCATTTCAAGGTGCTTAGACTACAGGAGGTATTAGAGAACATGTTTAGTAAATGTTGAAGTCCTTGAACGTGAAATTTGTGGCCAGAGTGACACATTTTTCTGAATCTATGCAACATCCTTAGTGGGTAAGGAAGTAAATGGCAGTACAAAAAATCTACAGTCTGAGACTAAGTAACATCAAAGAAGCAGCTGAGGCTTCTGAAAATGAATAAATAATTCTAGGAAAGGAGGCTTTGAGACTTAGTTCTGGGAGACACCAAGAGAGATGTGCCTCCAATTGCAGAGTGGTAAAGCCAGGACTCAGTGTAGAGATGGGATGCAGAAGAGGTGTGCATCAAGTCTGAAGCACAAAAGTTGAAGTAGAGCAATCTGAAATAACAGGGCAAAGCCTCTAATCTACCCTTGAACTGAAGCTAAGTCTGAAGGCACTCAAAGTGAGCTATGCCTCTGGGGCTTGGATTGATATGACTCACTATAATTCCTGAACTGGACTATCCTTTGCTCTGCCTTCAGAACAAATAACATTGAAAACTGTTTTTTTTTGTGTGTGTGTACTATACATAAAAATGTAGTCTGACTAGTACAGTATTTATCACCTAATTTAATGCCAAAGAATTAAAATAGACAACATTTACTCAATACACCTGTTATGCTGGGTACAGGCAGCTCCCATCTGTGAATCCTAGCTATTCAGGAGACACCAACAAGGAGGATCTTGGTTTGAGGCCAGTTTAAGAAAGAAAAACGACACCTTATTTTAAAAATACTCAGCACACATAAGGGCTGGTGGAGTGGTTTAAGTGGTAGAATGCTTTCCTAGCAAGCATGAGGCCCTGAGTTCAAACCCAAATACCAAAATAACTAAATAAATATACCTGTTGGTTTAAAAAATATATAATGTGAATTATGTCATCCAACCCTGACACCAGTGCTATCAGACAGGTTCTGTTCTTAAGAGCATAATATAGGTGAGAAAATTATGGCACAGAGAGATAAACTTATCTGAGTCAACTTACAGAATACATACAGGTATGATGATATAATGCCAAATTCACATTATTGTCATTAGGCCATATTTCCTTCATTGTTGTATAGGAAATTAGCTGTTATAAGATTTAGACAATTAAAATATCGGTTTCCTGTGTTGGACAAGTCTGTGTATAGACATCTCCATTACATGAATAACAGTAGATGAGCCAAGATTGATAACAATAGAGAAGAAATATTTTGGGGAATGAGTTCAGTTTAGGATATATACTGTTTGCAAGTTGAAAATGTAATTCCTGGGGCAAGTGCCTATGCTGATGTTTGGTTTGGGCTCTCATCCAAGTGAGAGTGTGTGTTGTAGGAACCTGCCATGAGTATGGAGAAATTGCTAGGAGATAAAATGTGGGAAGGAGAGCCAGGGGCACAGAACACAGGACTGGAAGCTATTTGAATGAAAATAGGGCATAAATTAGAATGAGAAAAAAGACAGATAATAGTCAAAAAAGCAGGATGAAAAGGTTGTTATGTCAATAAAATCAAGTTAGCACTGTTGATTACAAAAAGATGAAGTTAGATAAGGGTTTTAAAGGGAACGTTGTACTTACAATCTCCATGAAGTTATCACTGGTTTTCAGAGTATATTTTAAGAGACTGGAGATAATTTATGGATTTATTACTAGTGGGTGGGAAAGAATAAGTGAAAACTATATTCTGTGTATTTTTTGCTCTAAAAAAGTCTATGGGTGAGTGAAGGCATCAATTTTATAAAGGAAGGAATGTAGGAAATTGAGGGTATTTTTTTTTTTGGTGGGACTGAGGATTGAAAGCACTTGCAAGCAAGATCTCTACCACTTGAGCCACACCTTCAGTTGGAGAATATTCTTTCAAAGGCTTTCTTTTTCAACAAGGTAGAGGGACATTGAAGGGCTGAAAATAAAGAAAAAATAAAATATTAAACCCAACTTTGTCACTCACACTTCAAATCACAATAATCATAATAAGATAATAAAATGATAATTAGTTTAGTAATAAAACACATCTTATTTTATGGTTCCAAAAGAAAACAAGAAAAAGATATAAAAAGGGACAGCTAGTAAAAAGGAACAATGAAGGAAAGTCATGGAACTTGGAGAGTGAGTAGGCTATGCATGAAAAAGTGAGCATCATAGGATTTGGAGAGCATGGTGAGGGGATCTTAGGTAATGGTGTGAGCTCCTCTATGGCCACACCACTTTGAATGTGCCTGATTTCATCTGATCTCAGAAGCTAAACAGGGGCAGGCCTAGTTAGTACTTGAATGGGAGTGAGCTCATTCTGAGACTGGGAAATTTGAGAGAGAAAATGTTAACAGAATTTTAAAATTTAATAAATGTAAAGAAAGACACATTTCCTATTAGTTAAGAAGAGATACAAACAAAAGTTTAAATACCTGTGTGGCTTTAGCCAGCAGACTCACAGTGATGCTTCTTTTCATTTTCCTCTTAGCATTTCAGAGAGATTGAAAAATAGAAAGAACATTTAAGGCCATATTTTTCACCCTGTATCTCTAGACTGGGAAGGGTCATTATGCCTACCGAGTGAGAATTTACTTTCATAATATTCTCTTCCAGCTACTATCTCGCCTTCCGAATATGTATCATCCTTGCATTTTGGGTATTGGATAAGAGATCAGTGTTCAATGCATGAGGAGACCAAGAAAGAGAAAAATAAACCATGACTAGAACCAGAGAGATATCAGATTTATTTTATCAGTGGGCTCACAATCATGGCAAGATGTGGAAACTGGTAAGTGTGATGAATAAATGAGTGAAGAAGTTGATGAGAAAGATGAGATTAGTAGGAATTAAACAGAATAATTTCAGTGTAGCTACTCTAAATTAACTTCTCAGTGTCACTCACCTCCATATCAATGAATAAGCTGATTCTTCCCCTAGACTACAGAATACCCTAAATTCTCCCTTTATCTCTCATTTATTGGAACAAAGGGATGTCATTCTGGAGCCTATGGCAGACTGATTTCCTCTGACTTGGATTCTTCACATAATTGCACAAAGATGTTTACTATCTTTACCATCTGTGTTTTGATGCTCTGCAGAATTTCTCCAAGAATGATTATGACCTTATATTAGTATACAGCTTGAAAGTTGCAAAGCGTTGTCAAATCCACTTCAATATTTAATTATACAAACACAGGTTTAAGGTAAGGAAAATAGAAATTACAATTCAAATTTAAAGATCAAGGAACTGTACTCTGAATGATGAGAAAAGAGATGAAAGGCAGCAGGAATGAATCAGAAGGATGAACATGACTTTTAAGGGTCACACACAAAGACAAAACTAGGACTCCAACTGCAGTTCTCCTACTCCAAGTCCATCTGTCACTCAAAGTTTACTTGAGTAATGTGGAGATTTAACTAGCACTAAAAGCTCAGTGTATGGCCTTGGTTCCATGTTGGTCATTTTTGCATACCTAACCGTTCTCTATGTGATTCTACATGTTGTACATACCTGAGCAACAACAACTGGAAAAAAAAGGACTTGTAATGTGTACTTCAATCCAGAACTTGGCTGCAAGAATATTCCCTCCAAGACCCTTTTGAAGTGTTTCAGGAGCTTCTCCTCAGAGGCTTCTGCTGAGTCTGAAAATTCCCTGAAGAGTTTTCATGACTTTTAGCTGAGGACAGGGGGTGGGGTATATGTGTGTGTGTGAGAAACCCTGATACAGGATCATTGAGAGAGAGAGAAGAGAGAGAGAGAGAGAGAGAGAGAGAGAGAGAGAAATTGATTCAGATAAAGGATAAAGCTGATTCCAACCTTACCTCAGACACTTTCTAACCATGTGTTCATGTGACCCAGGGACAATTAAATGTCTCTGAGATTATTTATTTTTGTTTTAGATAAAGAATATCTCCCTTTCCCTCTTTTTTTTCAAATATAGATTTTGGTTCTATCAATCATTCTCATCTGATTTAGTGTCAAGTGATAGTGTGATTTGGTGTGAGGTTAGGGAGAAGATAGTCCTCTTTGGCCCTTCATCTTAAATTATAGGTTCCTTAAATTATAAGTTCCTTAATTACTATTGGCTATCCTTGTGCTTTCTTCCGAGTACACATATGGTTTGAGCCTGCTAGATTGGCACCTTGTACTTCAAGGTTCTGCTGCTGTTTCATCTAAGGGAGCCTGAGATGCCAGTGCACTGACCGCACCATATTCTAAGCCTGACAGATGGTCACTGATAATCCCATTTCTCTTATCTTCAGTGTTTTTAGTGCAGTGTCACTAAAGCACGCAAGACTCTAACTGACAAAATACAATACACTGGTATAAAAGCTTGTAGATGTGGCTAACTCCTTCCAGGTTCTATTGGTGGTGGGAGATATTTGACGATATTGTCCCTTCTAGATGTTACATTTTAAAACTAACCACTTTTGTTATTTCTTATGCTAAACCCTGTGGAATGAAAAAAGACAATGGCCTGATGTTAACAGGAAATTATTTGTTAATTATAAATATGTGCAGGAGGTAGAGATCAGTGAGTGTTTAGTGTTTATCATTTATTATAGTAGAATGATATATTTTCTTGCTTAT